TTACAGAATTGCCACGGAATTTTTTCCTAGCGTTCCGTAATTTTTCCCAGCACTCTAAAAAAAAGTTACTACTCACCAGTACTGAATTCTATTTGGGAGAAGTTTTCTTGTGAAAAGTTGGGAAACTACTTGTCCCAAGTACTTTTCATGTCCTTGGATGAAGTACAATATTTGCTAAGCAAGTAGGAAAAGTACTAGGAGGAAGTACTTTTATTACTTCCTGTCAGCATTTTTCTTACTTCTCAGAAGTACTTTTAATGCTTGGAGCAAGTAATTTTTCTACTTCTCGCGAGTACTTTTATGACTTGATTCCAGTACTTTTGGTTGGTTATTTTGTTGGGGAATTTCATATCATTAATTATCATTCTCATTATCGTTCTCATTATCATTATCATTATCATTCTCAGATGACAATGACCAAATTTCATCGAGGGGAGGTTACGATGAGTTTAAAAATCGCGAGATATTGCAGTAAGATTTATCACACATTGATGATTGATTATTTATATATGTTGAAAGACGAAGAATAAGTGGGAAAAAAAACGATTATTTATTGTTTATTTGCCCCCAAGACCTTGAAAATGAAGAAAAATAGCACAGTGTACTCAATTTTTGAGCTACAGGGGTTTCCTTTTGTAAATTTTTCAAAAGATGTCTAGAATAACGGTTACGAGCTACTTTTTTTCAAAATTCGACTTCTAAATAGGCAATTTCATTCTTTGTCGCATAATGAAATTGCAATTTTCACACAAGATAGCTCAAAAGATTAATACTTCAATTTTTTTGTTCAATATAAAATATAACAATTATTTTGAGAATCATTTTGCTGGCTATTTCGCATGAATATTACCTTTTTTGTTATTAAAAAAAAGGACTATTTGGAAATTAAATTTGGAAAACTTAATTGGTAATTGTTATTCTACACATCTTTTGAAAAATTTTGAAAAAAAAATCTCTGTAGCTCGAGAATTTATTACACTGGACTGTAGTCCAGTACATTTCAGTTTTCAAGCATTTGAGGGGCAAACGAACAATAAACAATAATTTTATTTGCATTAATTCTTCGTTTTTCAACGATCTCCATTGTATGATGAATCTTACTGTAATATTCCGCGAAAATCCATTGGTACTGGATTTGAGTACTATTACTACTTGTCTCAAGTATTTTTTCTACTTTTGAGAAGTACAGCTCGGTACTCAGTACAAGTACTTTCAGTACTGATGATGAGTACAGTTGGTACTTGTCACCAGTGCTAATTGTACTTGGAGCATAAAACTTGTATTCAGTCGATTTTCGACTTGGACCAAGTAAAAAAATTAGCTTTTCTCCAGAAACGCCTCGGTACTGAATACAAGTAGTTTTCCTACTTATCAGAAGTAATCTTTTTTTAGAGTGAGAACATTCAGATAAAAATTACGGAACGCTCGGAAAAAATTCCGTGGAGCCGTCACTTAAATTTTCTGAGTCGATTTCGTAATCGGTAAGCGAATTGTGAGTTCCGTACTTTTTACTGAATATTTCTCTCCATGTACTTTTGTCAGTTTGATTTTATTCCCATCACTTTCCCACGACTGTCAAATTATTTTTATTGAATATTTTTCTAATTAATAATAATAATTTATTCCTTAAGTTCTAACTAGAGGGGCTACGAAAACATCGAGATTTCATTTTTGTTTTCTTGAGACTGAAATCTAGAAAAAATACGAAGAAATTTCCAATGACGCAGCATACTCAGATAGTTCTCCTATCAATTTTTCAATTTTTTCCCATTATTGTAACTTTTTACCCGAAACACCTTAAAATCCCGATCGCACGTCGGGAGGGATTTTATTGCAAAACTTCTCACGACAGGTGATATGCAACACAAATGTCGGGAAATATCCGATAGTTTTGGAGGTCTTCGGGTATTACAGTCAACAATTCATCATAGACCTAAATAGTATATTACAATGGGGTTCTGTGTTTGCGCTCGAAACCCCTAGCCCATCATCGCTGTTTGATCGATCATAACCTTGGAACTTTTTTATGTTTAGTTTTGTTTGGGAAATCTAACTGATTTCTATAATCAACTTATATATATGATTGAAGGAAAGATTATAAAAAGTTTAGTATGTGAATTGATTGCATGATACTGACATTCGTAAAAAATGAATTTTTTTAATTAGAAAATTAGTTAATTCTTCATCGAAAAATACAAGAATTTTTTTTTTATAATTTGTTGAATATCTAAAGCTCAAGAATCGCCACTAAAAGGTCAAAAAAAAATTTGAAAAATTTACAGAAGACAAACGGCTGAAAACTCTCCATATATTGCCATAAATACTCTACAAGTATTAAATTATTAATAGAACTCTCGCTCATAAGTTGACAAAGAAAATATGCAGAACGTGAGTGCGGAAGTTTATATATCGACATCTCCTATACGGAGAGAAATTTTTTACAAAATTTTCCTACCGTTCTATAAAAGTGTATCATGAGTCATCATTTCCTCATTTCTATCCCGAAATTTAGTAAAAATTAATATATGATGATGAAATTGTATTCTACGTTAGAGAAATTTTATCCTGGTAAAAATAAAAATTACCGTCCCGGTAGAGTGAAAATTACTGTACCGGTGTGGCTGTAGTGGTCACGCGGGGAGTGTGTGGCTACGGCAGTCATGCAGGCTAAGCAGCGTTCAGTCTGCCCAGTACTTGGATGGGTGTCCGCTTCGGCACAGCTAACCGCATGTGACTAGTCGCCAGGCACGAATGTAGAGAACCACTGTGCCCATTGAGTCAGTGTGACCATTGGTCACACTGACTCAATGGGCACAGTGGAATCCCTGCATTATCGGCCGGCTGCACGACTGAGGTTTTCCATGGTTTCCCTGGCAGTCCAATCCCGAATGGGGTGCAGTTGGGGATAAAATAAGTCTGCCTATGGTAACCCAGTTTGGAAAGGGAACAAAATGTAAAAACCCGAGAGAGTATACATATGGAACCAAAAATACTGTACCGGTAGGGTAAAATTTACCAACCGTTCTAGAATTTTCGTTGTTATTTACATAAAAATTATTGGACTGAAAGGGTAAAATTTATTATGCATCAGGATAAAATTTCTCTAACGTAGACTAAAATGTGATAATCATATATTAATTTTTACTAAATTTCGGGATAGAAATGAGGGAACGATGACTCATGATACACTTTTATAGAACGGTAGGATAATTTTTATCCAAAATTTCTCTCCGTGTAATAAAACAAGGGGAGAATAACAAANTTGGTCACACTGACTCAATGGGCACAGTGGAATCCCTGCATTATCGGCCGGCTGCACGACTGAGGTTTTCCATGGTTTCCCTGGCAGTCCAATCCCGAATGGGGTGCAGTTGGGGATAAAATAAGTCTGCCTATGGTAACCCAGTTTGGAAAGGGAACAAAATGTAAAAACCCGAGAGAGTATACATATGGAACCAAAAATACTGTACCGGTAGGGTAAAATTTACCAACCGTTCTAGAATTTTCGTTGTTATTTACATAAAAATTATTGGACTGAAAGGGTAAAATTTATTATGCATCAGGATAAAATTTCTCTAACGTAGACTAAAATGTGATAATCATATATTAATTTTTACTAAATTTCGGGATAGAAATGAGGGAACGATGACTCATGATACACTTTTATAGAACGGTAGGATAATTTTTATCCAAAATTTCTCTCCGTGTAATAAAACAAGGGGAGAATAACAAACAACAATAAGGGGAGGAGTATTTCTATTTCCTCTTTAAAACAAGGGTATCCCAAAATTCCCGTTAAGACTAGGGTATCTCAAAATTCATGTGAAAGCTTATTGTCTATTTCTAAGTTTCATGGAGCTCGCAAATCATTTTATTTCTCTTCCAATGTGAACTACTTCATGTTATTTGTACTTTTTGATGCATTCATACCATTTATAGANTAGCACAGATACGATTTTTTAATTAGCGGGCGAGTTGTCGGGCGTCACTGCGCCGANGAGCTGTCAAGTGAAAGAAAACGTGAGATTTCAGACGATTTTTCATATGAGCTTTGAGACAACCTTGTTTTAAAAATAAAATTGTAATACCCTTAGTCTTGACGCTTGGGGAAATGGGGTCTCCCATTTCCCCGATTATTGCAAATATATTCATGGAACACTTCGAGAACGAAGTATTGAAGTCAGCACCTCAGAAACCTACTGTATGGTTCAGGTATGTGGACGATACCTTTGTCATCTGGCCACATGGAAAGACTGCTCTAACTGAATTCCTGGAGTTCTTGAATACTCAGCACGTGAGCATCAAGTTCACTATGGAAATTGAACAAGATAGATGTCTTCCATTCCTAGATGTCCTGGTTCGACGCAACGAGGACGGCACTCTAGGCNTCTGGTTCGGCGCAACGAGGACGGCACTCTAGGCCACCAAGTATATCGCAAGCCAACCCACACAGATAGGTATCTCAATGCTACCTCCCATCACCACCCCTCCCAGAAGAATTCCGTTATTAGCTCCCTAATGTATAGAGCACTTACAATCTCTCAACCCTCCAACGTTGACAGTGAAGTTGAACATCTTGAGATAGCTCTGACCAAG